TTGATACAGTGGTACCTCGGGTTACAGATGCTTCAGGTTACAGATTCCGCTAACCCAGAAATAGTACCTCGGGTAAAGAACTTTACCTCAGGATGAGAACAGAAAACGTGTGGCAGTGGCAGCGGCAGCGGGAGGCCCCATTAGCTAAAGTGGTACCTCAGGTTAAGAACAGCTTCAGGTTAAGAACGGACCTCCAGAATGAATTAAGTTCTTAACCCGATATACCACTGTACTTTCTATGGCTTTCTAGATTTCTCCAAAAAATGGAATTATGCTGAGAGCTAGAATTCAGAAGTGTCTACTGCAGTAGGTAGCTTGGTTGCTCCGTGGTTGCCGTCATGAGAGTATCTGGGGGCCTAGAAGGTGATGACAGAAGTCTGGCTGCAGGACGTGAGAATTATAAGGAGCAGGGGTGTTGCAACATCCTCATTCCCATGTGGCACAGACTGAATTGGCCTGATCCTGGGAGCCATAGATTGGGGCCACTGGTCAGATCCAGGAATCTGGGCAAGAGAGAACAGCAAATGACAGTGCAAGAAGGTAGGAAGGCAGAAAGGCACAGAAAGACAGGAAAGTGATGAAAGTAGAAGGACGTGAGAGAAGAGACAGAAGATGAGTGACAGTTGAATCCTTCTGGAAGTAATGGATACTTATTTTTTGGTAAGAAAACGCAAGCATAATGGTGTGATGATAACTTGTCCTCTTTCTCAACATCAAAGACAGTGAAAACAATGTTCAAACTCTGGTTTGAGCTGTGGTTCAGAAAATTCTATTCATGTTTCCAACTGTTGCCCAGTTTTCTGAGAAAGATAAAACAGTAAAGTTTTGCTTTTATTGAAGCAGATATTCTGCAACATGTACAACAGTTTATTGAAAGATTCGGTGCCCATCTTCTTCAGAATCTGTGTGAGGAAATACAGTGGATACAATCATCATTCACTATGGACGCAGAGTCACTGGAATTAAGATACGAATTGCAGTAACACTTCCTTGAGCTTTCTTGTAACACAGCCTTAAAAGTGCAATTTCAGCAACTAACATTACCAAAGTTTTGGATTTCATTCAGTTAGTAAAGAATATCCAGAGTTGGCAAGAGTTGGCAAGTGTAGCAATCATCCACCTGCTACCATTTGGTATCATTGTTAGTTGCTATAGAGGACCAGGACTTTGTTGTGTTTTACTTGTGAACAAGTAAAGTGCCAGTGCCCTGTTTGGCTGCAAAGTGAGTCATTTTATTTGTGGATTAATTGAGTGAAAAGAAAGGGAGCCTTTGTTGCTGTCATTATATTGTGGGAACTGGAGAAACCAAGCAAACCATAATTGGATATTTGCTTTTTCCTAATGTCAGCCATCTTCAGCATGGTGCCTCCCAGATGTTTTAGACTAAAACTCTCCCGATTCCTAGCCATTGGCACTGCTGGCTGGGGCTGATTGGAGTTGTAAGCTGATGGATGGCTGCCTTATGTTTTCTCTTGGAAGTCTGTCTTGAAAGGCATCAAATTTAAAACTTTGGTGCATTTGTACTAACTTACCGTAAATAGAAATTTCTTGACATGGAAAATGTGTAAACCTCATATTTACATCCTTTTCAGCCATGTATCCAGTGCAGCAGTGAAGAATGTGATGAGCATTATCTTTGTCTTGGCCATTTTTTTTGTTCTGGGAAAGACCTTAACTGTGATCTTGCAGACTGTCTGAAAGTACACAATTGATCTACTGTTAACCAGATATCTGGTTCATGTCATGTAAGAGCGGGAGAGTTTATTCTGATCGAAACAAGTTGCAGTGGTGAAGGCAGCCAAAAATATTTTGTTGTGCCTCTTTGCCGTTGATCACACGATGTTCTAGTAAAAAAAAAAAAAGTTGTTTACAGTCTGACTTTTGTGCTGTTTAATCACTAGATTTAAGTTTGCTTAATCAATACCAGCTGGTTTTCAAATCTGTACTCAGATTGTTGTGTGTAAACAGTGCTTGAGTCTATGATATGATGACTTCAAGAACTGGAAGGAATTGTGCTACAGAAACTACTGTAAAACATATTTATGAAAGAAATGAAAAATCTTCACGAAAACTTTAAATGCTACTGGGATTCTAGCCTATAGAAAGATAATTGCCCTTTACCATTATTTATTTATTGGCCATCTATACTGCCTTTCTGCCAAGGCGGTATAAAATGAAGGGGGACCTCCTCTCAGGCCAACTGGCTCTGGGGTACCTTCCTGCAGGGCACACAGTGCCAAAATGTTAGCCACTGAAAACAGAAAAAGGACCAGGAATGCTAGAAGACTTTGTGTTGAACCTGCAGATGTCTTCTCTTCTACTTTTTAATGATTTCTAAATTTATTATGTAGAAGAGTGAATTGGTGGACTTTCTATGGATTATTTCTAGGAAAATGCCAAACTTCGTTTGTTTTGTTAGTCCTGTAACGCTGGAAGAATAAGATAGGTTCTTTGGCTCGAGTACTGACTGTTTTATAGACTTAACAACAAAAGGGTGCTTGGAATAATTACTGTATTCTTCACTTACTGAACATTCAGTTTCCACTTAAATTCTCATATGCTGACTTCATGCCTCCTCCACAATATTTTAAGCTCAGCAAGTCTGTCATTCAGCAACCTGGTATGGTTTGTAAAATACTGACACTGACATCTACAATTGGAGAAAAATAAGGAATTGGGTGAGGAAAACTACTGAATAAGCAAAATTCAGGACTCCTTTTTGTATAGAACCAAAACTGCATACTGTGTGCACGAGAGTATTTTTCAGTCTTATCTGCTAGTGAAACTGTCAGTTGTTTACAGATCTAGATAGAAAGTTAGCAAAGTAGGCAAGGAACTAAATATAAACCCATCATTAATATCTGCCTGGTCCTCAGTAAAATATATACTTGACTCGTCTTATGGAAAACAACTGTGATTTTGGTTCTGTATGCACACACTTCAAATACAGATTCACAATTACATACAAATCTTAAAAGTAGTCAATAATAAAGCAACAATGCAGTCATTTATGGTGGTCTCCCATTTAAAAAAGAGAAAATTGGGACCCGAAAAAGTACGAGTATGACATGTATGAGGCTACAGCCCATGTTGCTGCTTCACTTACTTGTTTTTACCTCTCTTTTTAGGTCAAGTGCTCACAAGGAAGTTTATATTAAAAATGTTGTAAGCAATGTCGTACTTGTTATAATTGTGTATTAGTCCGCTGGTTACCTTCAAGGACTGGAATGCAACTTTTGGCCAGCATAATAATATTATGTATGCCTGGAATAAGTTTTAAGAAATAGCAATCTGAATGTCTCATATCTATGTACAGAAAGAAACAGATGTATCCGAAAAGATGGAGGAAAAAGTTTTCTATTACTAGTTGTGTGATTTGTAGAGGGATCATGTTTTTGCATGCAGGAAGCTCCCATGGTCAGTTTCTGAAATATTCAGTTAAAGGATCACATGGGGCTGGGAATAACCTCTGTCTGAGAGTTGCTTCTTACACAATTGTATGCTGGGTAGACCAGAGATCTCACTTGATTTAACAAAATCAGGAAAAAATACATAAAGTTAAATAGTCAGGGGATCTTAAGAGCCAACTTCTAGCGAGGTCCCTCCCCCCCCCAAAAAAAATTTATTTGAGGGGCCTGGACATTGCCATTCAAATTGATCGACATTGTCATTTAAATGGTTATGTTATCAATAATTGTGATCAATTATGTGGGGTGGGGCTTACCTGAGGGCCCCCCATTTTATTCAAGTTGGCACCCCTGCAGGTGATTACAGACTCTGGAAGGCCACCTTAGTCTAATCTTTCTTAAAGATGGATCTTCTCTCTAACAATCACTTCACAGAATAATCTAGGCAATTCATGTGGAACATGTATTTTAAAATGATGTTGGGACTCAAACCTGTATTTTGTGATGCAGAACCGTTGCTTCAACCACAGGTGCTGGGGCTTACTCAGAGTGGCTTGGATGCACGGTATAAGTCAAAAGCATAGTCATTTCCACATTTGCCTGGTGGAAATTTGCTGCGGCTGTATCCAGATTAACAGCCAGCGGAAGTTGCCCTTTGAATAAAAAGTACACCCAGCTGGATGTGGGAATGACTGCCCATTTGGCTGAAAGCGTTGCTTCACAGTGGAGAGAGAAGCTTGCTATGTAAATACTCTAAAGCAGTATTCATTCTTACTGCTCCCATTCATGGGTTGAAGCCTGTGCACCAATTGCATTGGTCCTTGTGTTACTTGCATGTCAAGTTATCTAGGCTGAAATCCTGATCTCGGAGACGTTTGACAAAGTTCCACTCCATTTTAAATGGCATAGGATCACAGTCTCTCTTTAAATTTGCACAGGCAGCCTACATTAGATTGGCACCAATGCCAGCAGCAGCCAAGTGCTTTTGTACTAAAGGTGCAAACCAATACAGTCACTTTGGTAAGCAGATATGAAAGGCAAATCCTTAGTCTAGACAAAGCCTTAGTGTGTTTTCACCTTGGATTTGTGCCAAGGGGAAATGGGCAGGCATAAGCTAATTTATTTGAAAGATAGACATGGGTGATGAGAACTTTTTCTATCCCATTTAGAGGGGTGTTGAATAGGAGCAGTAGAATGAAATGTGATGTCTTTGGATGATAGAGGAGGGTTAGCATAGACGTTCTTGTCACCTTCTGGAATTTTTAAAACTAGAATGACAACGTGGGGTGAGGAGACAGTTTTCCACAAGCTGTAAACATACTTGACTGAAATAGGTGGAGAAGCAGTCGTGTTGCTCCAAGGATAAATTGAGTTTCAAGCTGCCACTCTAATCTTGATGCATAGATAATAAGAAATCACTTAATTAGAAATTATCCAGTGCTAAGGATGCAAGCGAAAATGGCAAATGTGTCTCATCGAAAACACACATGATGATAAAAACTAAAATAGTTCTGAAGCAAGTAAAATAAGATAGATATAGATTCAGGTAGGTAGCCATGTTGGTCTGACGCAGTCAAAATAAAATAATTAAATTGTCCAGTAGCACCTTAGAGACCAGCTAAGTTTGTTCTGGATATAAGCTTTCGTGTGCAGGCAGGAGTGTGTTCTGAAGAAGTGTGCATGCACACGAAAGCTTATACCCAGAACAAATTTAGTTGATCTCTAAGATGCTACTGGACAATTTATTAATTTATTAAGATAGATATAGGTAATACTCCAATGCAATTTCAGTGAACCTTGAGTATCAAGATTAGCAATGTAATCTAGGCATGTCCACTCAGAAGTAGAGATCTACAACTTCTCCTAGACAATGACAGTTCTCTTCCTCAAGCTCTGGGAGGAAGACCTTTCATTGCCTACAGACAGCCACCCAATCTTAAACAATTCCTCACCCACAATAATACAACAACCAGACTTAACATGGACAGTGATACCAGAGCCTACAATAAACCCAGATGCCAACTTTGCTGCCACATACACCCGGACAACACCATTCCTGGCCCCAACAACATCAAACATACCATCTCAGGACTATTTAATTGCTCATCTTCTAACATTGTGTGTGCCAACAGTGCCCTTCAGCTCTATATTGGGCAAACAGGCCAAACCCTACGCCAAACGATAAATGGACATAAATCTGACATTAGGAATCACAAGACAGAGAAACCAGTAGGAGAACACTTCAATCTCCCAGGACATTCTGTACAAGATCTCAAAGTAGCTGTCTTATTACAAAAGAATTTCAGAAATAGACTGGAAAGAGAAGTTGCTGAATTGCAACTTATTACCAAACTTAAAACCATGGAGATACCTGGTCTGAATAGAGACAGTGGATTCTTATCTCATTATACATGATAAAGCTATTTTTTGCCATCTCACCCCTTGCTTTTCCTGTAAGACCAATTGCAGTCATTAATAGTCATCAACAGGTTTACCATACCTATCAGCCAATCACCCATTCCCACCACCCTTCTGAGTAATACCCCTCCCCACCCTCTCACTATATATAAGGGTCTGATGATTTCTGTTTTAGTGTATCTGAAGAAGTGTGCATGCACACAGAAGCTCATACCAATAACAAACTTAGTTGGTCTCTAAGGTGCTACTGGAAGGATTTTTTAAATTTTGGTTCAAAGATTGTACTGCTTCTGTGCAGGAGAAAAACATGTGATTAAGAAAAGCATGTAGTATTCAAAAGTAAAAAGGAAAGGTAGTAAATTGGGAATTGAGGGGGTTGCTGAGTAATGTAATGTAAGGAAGCTGTGGTGCTACAGTGAAATGTATTGTTCTGACCATTACAGTTTTTATAGCATTACCAAAAGTGATAAGCGCATCAATAAATTTTATATACATATGCTTTTTATTATGGCTTATTCAATGCATTGGGTTGTGTTGAAATGATATATGCATTGCCTTTAGTAAAACATTTGCAGGATTTTTTTCACAACAGGAATGAAACTATTAATAAAATAATTAAGTTTTTTATTTTCTAGAAAATTGAAAAATGTAAGCATGCAATACATTTTTAAGATCTAAGCTGAGAGTTCATGAAATGCAGGGGGAAGGGGTGGTAGTGCAAAACACAGCACAAGCCCTTTTCCAATTTCCCAGTGATTTTACTGGTTCTGAATTGCACTATAAACTCCTATTCATGCTGCCTGTGATATCCCTATAGGCAATGAATTTTTAATTAATTAAACAATTTATATACTACGATTGTGAGCGGTGTATGGAGATTACAATACAGAAAAGGAAAAAAATCAGTTATTGGTATAAAACCAGACCAGTTAAAATGCCTGCTAGAATAAAAAAAAAAGTCTTCATTGAGTGTCAGGAGTTCAACAGGGAGAAGGCCTGTCTGACCTCAACCGGAAGGGATTTCCATAAAATTGGGCCAACAGTACTGATCACTGGTGGATCGTGCACCTGAACCATGAGGGACCACTAACAGTGACTCCCCCACAGACTTCACTGATCGGGCAGGGATATGAGAGAATCCTGGACTCTAGTTAAGAGCCTTGCAAATTAATACAAGGACCTTGAACTTGGACCAGTGCAAGTTTTAAAGCACTGGGGTTCTAGCAATTATCTGTTCCTATCAACAGTCAGTTGCCCATACTCCAGATGGAGGAGGCACACGAAGAAGGGCCTCAGATTATGATCACAGGGTCCAGTTCAGTTCATATGAGGAGAGGCAGTACTTGAGGTATTGAGATCCTGAGCTGTTAAAGGCTTTATAGGTCAAAACCAGCACTATGCATTGGGTCCGGAAACTAATTGGCAGCCAGTGCATTCGGGCCAGGATTGGCGCTATATGCTCAAACTGTCTCTCCCCACTTCCTGTGTTTTCTCTCCATGCATGACAACTGTGTGAAGGAGGAAGATAAGTTTGAAAGACTGTAAGTGGCCCAAGGTTAGCCATCAAGTTTCATGACTGAGTGGAGATTTGAAGCCTGGTCGCCCAAGTCCTAGTCCAACACACTAACCACTGCACCATACTGGTTCTACATGCAACTGCACCCGAAAGCCATAATATATTTAAAAAATGAACAAGTAATGGCTCATGAATAAAGGAACGATACATTAAAATTATTAACACACACCAGTTTTTCAGAGGCTGGAAGACAGACAGTTTAGAGTTGATGTTGTTTAGAAAAATACACATCTAATTCAGTGCAATTTTTTAATGGTTACCATTGGTCTTGTACCTCAAGGACAGTTTGAAGTTTCATTGTGTGATGTTAAGCAGCTGCCTGACTGACATTTGTTGCCTCATATAAGGTTGGCATCAATAAAATATGCCATTGTGCATGCAGGTCACAGCTCGTTGTTATGTGCTTGCTGGTACCTATCCAAGTCACCTTCCAAATACTCCTGGGAGCATCTAAGGACGTTACTGCATTAATTTCTCCCTATTCTGTTGTTTAAATGCACACATGAACAAAATATTTAAAATTAGTTAAAAGACCTATCAATTCAAATTATTGCAGAACATTGTATACATTGATAGACACTTGGCCATGATGCATTTATACAGTAAACCGTTTTTGTTGCGTTTCAGTTAGGTTAATCTCAGGTGCTCAAATACTGCAGATCATGATAGAAGTCACATGTTATCCTTGTTAAGCAGTAGCAGATCCTTGTTTAGCTATGAAACAAAGTACAGCTGTGTGCAGAATAATGTTGATAACTTTTGTGATAAACAGTTACTATAATAGTAAATTGCTTATCCTACATTGAAGGAGATACAAAGATGCTGCTGGGAATAAGATGGGGAATTTGGTGGTTGGCCTCTGCTAAAGCAGTTGACTAATTGATTCAGATGTGTCTGAAGCTAGGAGTCCTTGGTGGCTGTGGAGATCATAATATTTAAACCACAGTTAAGGAATCACAAGCAAGAGCATATGCTTGCCCCCTTTCTTGCATGAAATCATACCTACGCCTACCCACTGTTAAAAGTTACATTGCTGCTTATCTTAATCATGGATGGATAAAGCTACAGTAGCTAGGGTATGCTTTTAATTTGGGGATTTGAGACAAGCTTCAAAACATTGGTGAATACAGACAACAAAAATCATAGCATCTAGGGAAAAGGTAGTGTGTGTAAAACAAGAGATGAACAATCAATTATTTTTACGTTATGATCATAGATCGTAGAATTGCAGAGTTGGAAGAGGCCACAAGGGTCATCTAGTCCTACTCCCTGCAATTTAGGGATCTTTTGCCGAAGGTGGGGCTTGAACCCACAGCCCTGAGATTAAGAGTCTCGTGCTCCACCAACTGAGCTATTCCTGGCCTTTAATGATGAGTAGACTCTCTTTCTGTGCCTCTATTGACATATATCTATCTATCATCTATCTATCCCCTCTTATCCTAGTTGACCACAGGTGGTCTGAATTTTATGTGAGTAGGTATGATTGATTACAAGAAATACTTGATAAGGTATGACTTATAAAATGCAAGATAGGCCCCTTGATGCTGTTTCCTGTATGATCCCTTAATAGTTGGCTAAAATGGACATATTTAAATGGCTCTGAAAGTGACCAAGCCAAATTTTGGAATAGAACAGAATGAAAATTCTTTAGCATTAAATGTTCTACAGTGGTTTTCCATGAATCAATAAAAAACCATATACTGTCCATCCCTTCATGACAACCTAAAACGGTTGTTTTCATAGTTCTCTCAGACTGACTTAATTCTGTGGAAGGCAGTGTGTTGCTGTTAATAGAGCCATCTGGGAACAGGTCCAGTGTCAGCAGTTTATGCAACCTTGTGACAATGGAATAATCCTGAGGCTCATCCCATGAATGTAAAGCATGTGTGTTAAATCACTCCATAATCAGTTTTCCAATAGCTTCTCTGCAGAACTATATTTTTCATTGAACGTTAATTAAAGTAGTTTAGAGGTATGGTATAACAACCTTCTGTCACTGAGCTCCACATATGCACCTTGTGGATTTCATAGTGGATAAATTATCCATCCCTGCTTGAAAGGGATGGCCTGGGCCACTGTGATTCTTCCTTGTTTATGTCTGATGGGTTTGTTCCCCCTGCTGGAGAGAGCATGACATTGTCAGAGTGGAGCAGAATGTTCCCTCCTCAGTTTTAGCTATTGTAGCGTTGGATTCTTGCAGAGTGGGAACTTTATAGCAGCTATTATTAAGGGGTTTATCTTGCAGCAAGAAGAGTTGGTGCTGGGACTGGGTCTAAATTGGGTAAGTCTTCACATGTATGAGCACAGAGGATTGTGGGAGAGTTACTTTGTACAGCAGAGGATGCTGTGTCTAAAACTCATTTCAATTGTTACTCACCTGAAGGTGGAGACTGTGTTGGAGAGGCAAGGCTAGGCAACTGACTACCCCCTGATATGTTTGGCACCCTAAGATGCCTTCATGGCTGCCTTATTGCGGAATGACTGAGGGCAAGTTCAGTGGTCTTGCTCTGATCCCTTTCAATGCATGGAACTTTCCTTCTCATAAGTATCATGTGACAGAGTCTTTGTACCATGCTCAGTTCCTTGTGGACGACATGAATTCTTCTCTTTAAAAAAATACTTAATCTATTTTTAATACATTACCACAATGAATAGCACTTACTGCTGGCATTGTAGTTAATCTTTTCATCTTGGAAATGTTGATACTACAATCCTGTTGTTCACTTTGAAGATTCTGCAAATGTTT